GACGCTCGGAGAGCTAGTCTCTTATATTATAAAACGAGGTTAGTCCCCAGTTTTGTCCACGGGGATAGACGACTTTTGTGTCGTTTTCCGGCCCGGCCAATCGCAACGTTCAGATTCTGCGGCGGGCAATAACCGCGTTATCACTTCTTTTCTTATCATTTTTGAAATTTTCGAAATTTACACTTTTTACACGATTTCGACCGTTTTCTAGCCTTTTTCGCTCATATTCATATTTGATTCGCGTAGCTCGCGATCTCTCGAAGCCGCCGGTGTGCGGTTTATATCCGTTCGCCGTCCGTAGCCGTCGCAATGTCGATCGCAAAATACGCTCCCGGCCAGACTTTTTTGCCGATTTCTTTCGTTTTCTCCGACAGTTTCGTCTTTTCACACGTCGTTTGTGCCCGAATCGTGTAGTTGACGTCTTTCTAAAGCCGTATATATACGCTTTTCTTACGAAATCGGTCGGTTCGCTTCGCAATCGCGTTTAGAAATTACGACCGACCGTACGCGTATATATACATGTATGTACGTGTATAATTTAATTTTTGCCTATTGATTTAATAATTATTAACGGAAAATGCTTTTCACTCGCTCCGTTAAATATATATATGGGAGATGCGCGTATTACAAGCGAATTATATGCGATTACATCGATGAACATCGAATATATCGGCTTACGTCGCTCCGTAGACGCACGGCTTAAGTGTTGATGTTTTGACCGTAATTCATATCTCAAATTGTGTCCGAGTAGGTTAGGCGTTAGGTAGATTACACGTAGGTCTCGAGTTCGAATCCCCGTCGTACGCTTTCAGTGCGTCGTTGCGGTCATTTCCATATGGTTTACACGGCCGCCCGAATCTCGAATATTTTTTGCATTTTTTTCCCGTAATTTTACAAATTTCCGATCTTTTCTCTTTACTATTATTATTATTTTAACTTTACTTTGTGTATGTACGTTCAATTTTTGTTAATTAATCTACCATATTTCATTTTTTATGTATTAATATTATATGTATTTATGTAGGTAAGCATGTTTTTTTTTGTTTTTCTTACGTTATTTTACAAATTATAGTTACTGGTTTTTTTAAATTTTTATAATATTACTTGACTGTATCTATGAATATTTTTACTACTAAATTTTTATACCATTATATTATGTCATGTCCCTTCATCGTTGTATTTTAACTATTGTATTTTTACCTGATTAATTGTTTATTTTAAAAAAAGTATAATGTCATGTACATAATTGTAATTTAACTATTGCATTTCTTACTAATTGCATGCCTGTATATAAAAAAATATATTATAATGTGTATAAATGTAATTTAACTATTAAATTGTTTATATAGAAAAAATATACCTAATGTTAAGTACATAATGTAACTTAACTATTGCATTTTTAACTAATTATTCTAAACACGGTTTTATGTATTCATTACGGTTTTACAATCACTGTCAATTCATTTGTTTGTTTGTACAAAATATATCTTATCATTGTAGGTACTACTATTTCAACTATGTAACCAGGGCCGGATCTAGGGGGGGGGACTGGGGAAGTCGGGGATTTATCCCCGGGCGTATAATTTTCGTGGGCGTATTTTTAAGGTTTTAAATATTTTGTAAATTGAAAATTGAAAATGGACTTTAAAACAAAAGTCAAAACTAAGTTCAAAATAATATTTCACAAGAAATGTGTAATATTGGGTATGTGAATAAAATAAAATAATTTTATTTTTAATTGAGATTAGTAATAACTAATAACATTGATTTAAATATTAAAAAGGACAAATATGAAAAAGGTAAAAAATAGATAAAAATATAAAATAAATAAAACCCGTCCGCAACTTACTGTCAGCGGGAGTGTACATGCATTAGTCTATCATAAATAAATTAATGTACTCTCCGATTAGTGACATAATAAAGTATGGTAAATTACATCATTTTCTTGCATATAATATAATATTATGTAGATAGTTGTTTAAAACCTTAATCTTAAAAATCACACTATTAATTGTAATTCATTGTTATGTGATTTTAAATTAACAACTATACATTTTTCCAAATAGGTAGGTACTGCATAAAATTATGTACTACATAAAATGTTACTTAGGTACTAATGATTTAATTGTTTTCAGATTATTTATTAAATTACACGTTCGTACCTAGACTTATAAAAGTCTTTGTATTTAACAACAAATGCCTTTTTATAAACTGAACTTTTTTATAAATGTCACCATGGCCACTAGATAAATGTAACAGAACACAAAATGGAATATAATTTGTCATTTGTGTTTGCTTTTTAGTTTTTAAATAGGGACAAGTATACAACTATTAATTTACTTGATAAACTTGATACTACAAAAGTACAACATAATTAAATGATTAAAACAAAAATACTATCCTATTGATTGTAGCCCAAGACAGATTGAATATTATGTTTTACATATTATATTAAAATAATTTAAAAGGAAATTTATATTCTATTTGGTTCGTTTTTTTTTTATTATAAACTGTGTTTTTTTTTTGTCTGATTTATTTTTATAGTTCAAGATGTCAAACAGACAACCAGGTCCTTATTATTCTGGAAATTTTTAAAATGTAGAATGTAGAATGTAGTTATTTTAGTATATAGGTACATTCAATCCATAAGTGATAATCCATGATAAATATTTCTTTGTCGTGTTATAATCATTATATTACAATTTTCAGTACATAATTACATTTTTGTTTCATTGTATTTATTCCGTACCTAGGTACATATTATTAGTTTTGATTGTAACAATTATTAAAAATGAAAATGTATAATATTGATAGGTATGTTGTAAATTAAATATTGTTCTTTAACATAAAGCGTCCTATATTAAAAGTAAGCAATAGATACCTAATTTAGATTTGTTAATAAATAATTCATACATGTTATTATTATCAATATTATTTATTCTAAACCTGGAACTTAGAAATATTGACCACAGATTTTAGCTTTAAATACACCATTAAGAAGTGCTTCTAAAACTATATTACGTGAATAGTTTAAATTTTAAAATGTTTCATTTTTAAGTTAAAATCGTTCAAATTATTTGTGGTAAATAAATGATCATAGGCGCACATTGGGTGTGAATTTAGGGGGTGCTGGAATAATTTATGATTCACAGATCCGTGGGGGGCTTTGCCCCCCACACAACCCTAAATCCTAATATTTCTGCATTGCATTAGATTTAATTTGTATAGTGTATTCAATAATATCTAAAGTGCAATGTATCAAATAGTCTGTATGATTGTACAGAAGACGCTAGGTACACCAACATGTGTTGTCTCCGTATTACAAACGTAGGTACAACATAGGCAAAACTGTTTTGCACGGGTATAAAAAACTTTAAGGCTGTACTCTAAGCTAAGAAAGTAAGAAACTAAATGTTCACACTATAAATATGAGAAAATTTACTGTGTAACTTTGTTTTTATATTTCATAAAATTTGAAAACAATATATTAGGAGCCTTCTATTACATTTTTAAGCTTTTATACCCAACAAATAAAATTTTATTGATATTTATAGAAAAAAAACTAAACAAAATGGAAACTAAAAATGTCCATAAAAACCTCAAAATAACTCAAAATATTTAGAAAATTTTATCATGCATAGAAAATGGAAATATAAATAACCAGTAAGATAATATAATTTTCTATAATGATATGATATAATATGATTGCTACATACTGTTTAATGTTTTGACAAAAACTGAAACACTGAACCATGCATTCACACAATACTGTTTTAATCGTGAATTCGTAAACAGTTGTCAATATTTGTAATAAAAAGAAAAATTGCGAACCAATAAACCACGATAGTTTATAAATGATTGGTGAAATACCGAAATAAACTGAGGGTGCTGGTTTGAAGCTGGGGGGTGCTAAGCACCCCCCTATGTGCGCCTATGTAAATGATTGGTCCTGCAGTGCATTTGGAAACGTTTTGTAAATGTTGGTCCTCAGTTCCTCGCAATACTGTGTGAGTGTGCTTGATTTTTCGTAAAAAAAAATACTAATTCTGGTCATCTCCCTGGATGGGCGTATTTTTTTAATTTTCCCCGGGTGTTAAAAAGCTATGATCCGGCGCTGTATGTAACTAACATCCGACTTTCTGTTTAAAATATTTTTTACCTACTGTTTTTGATTCAATATATTATACATACCATACTAAATCAAACTGTTCAAATACACACACAATTTGTTAAAATAAATAAATAATATTAATAGTATCAATGACATACTGCAAGTTAGGTTAAGTTAAATTATACTTTTATTAAAAACGATGTAATAGATAGGTACCCACTAAACATTTGATGTTGCCTAACATCTCTGCGATGTATGTTTTGGGTTGCATACGGAACATCACATTTCTATGTTTATAGGGCATTTTATGGATGTTTTCCTTTAGTTGTCACTTAACTATAAATGTATAACATACCAACAACGTTTCAAACTTACCTTTTACGGAACATCGCATTTCAATGTAAATAGGTTGTTCTCGGGATGTATATATATTAAACTATTATATATTATTATATCGGCTGTCGCCCGAGTAGGATGGTGGGGAGGGGGTTCTACGAACAACATAGCTATTTCTACTTTATTATTTATTATTAGACATTATAATATATTTATAATATTATTTGGGTTTTCTATGACGTTATTATCAGTTCATTGGTGACTATAATAACTATTGTATATATATATAGTGGGTTCACCGGTGCTGCCCGACCGGCCGCTATACGTCCGCACTCCGCCGTCGACACTCGAGTACTCGACTATCTATAATACTCGCTTGATTGAGCTCGTGCCTCGTACCAGTGTTTGTTTTGTATTATACAATTTTGCATTATTACAATTTGCAATTATTGCATTTTTACTTTATAGTTTGTTATTTTATTTGTTCAGTCTTCAGAGGCCAGTCGCCAGTGTTAAATAGTAATATAGTATACATAAATATAATAATATCAACATGTCTACGAAACAATCGCTAAAGAACCGTAAAGTAAGTTTTTATATTATTTAATTATGTAGGTAATTTAAATTTAATAACATAAGCTTTTTTACCATTACCACTTAGAACCGGAAGTATAATAAGCGATGGGTCATTGTTTCCTTTACGGAATCAAACGATTACAGTGTTGTGCCTGTTAATTGGCTAATTTTACCACCAACATTGGAGCTAACCGCGGACAACATTTCAATAGTTGAACTTTGTCGATGGCCTCCATTTAATGTAACGAGCATTGAACTAACAAACGCGGATGATCCAGAAGATTTATGGGGCTTATTCAAAATTAAAATCTTGTCCAGTAAAATATATGGTAGGTACTTTATAAAAAGTTTTAAAACAATAGGTTCGATTAATAAGTAATGCAAGTCAAATAAACTTGAAACCTACTTGAAATTACTTCATAATTCAAATTGTACCTAATTGTATTCGTTTACTTAGTCAATTTCAAAGAAGCCTGGCATCAACGTGTGGAGATTGAAAGTTCTGCTACAGAAAATGAACCTGAACTACTCAAAAAGAAAAAGAAAAACCGCCAAAGAAGTTCATCTGAAGATGACGACAGTGACTTTGAAGGTATGCCTACCAGTGACGTCATTTGGGGGAGGGCAACTGGGGCATTTGCCCCGGTCTAGTATTTACATCAACCTTAAGTCGGCACATTTACCACACGCTCCCCCCCCCCTTTTAACACTTTGGTTCTACGCTATGAGAATCTGAGTGAAAAAAATGTTGAGTCGGATAAGTAGTGAAAAATTGCCCTAGTCTAATTAAAACTGAAAAGACGCCACTGATGCCTACTATTTTTTATACTTCTTTAAAAATTAGGTATTAATTTATTTTTATTTAGATTGTAGCATATCAGTAACACCTATCAGCAAAAAACTAAAAAAAGATGTGCCGTTAACATATACTGAATTGCTGGTGAGGAATTCTGATGAAGAATTCAATTGTGAACTAGATTCTGTATTACCACTGGCAGTAGAAATTGCAGCTAGTTCCTCAGTATCATACATAATTAATGATGACATACATACGGTAATACAAATTTAATTTTTAATTAGGTATTTAAGCACTGCAATAGTTAAATTTTAAAAAGTTAAAAATAAAATAGTATAGGTACTATGTTTTAATATAATATAGAATATACAATATCATTCCATCAATTTAAATTTATAAAATATTAAGTACCATAAAAAATTAACAATTGAACTAAATTTATTTTCATTTTGATGCGGAAATTCATATTTAATTGATAGCAGACAACGTCTCAGGTTAAAAATACTGATGAAATACAATTATATGAACCATATGAACCATTTATTGTTCCTAATACCTCATACAGTACAACCAGTGAGTATACTTACTTAGTATTTTATCTGAATTACCCATATTTTTGAATTAACTACTTCAATATTATTAATTTAAAATCAGTACAAATATTTTTTTATAATTTTTTTATAACATAGGTACTGGTAGTTTAAATCAGAAAATTCTTGATATTTTAACTAATATGCAATTGGAACAAGTCAACATTAAAAAAGAGTTAGTGGCATCAAATTTAATTTTGAATCGATTACTTACAAAAGTTGAAGTTTTGGAAACTAATTCAAAAAACAATAGTTTAAACTCTGCGATGGCCAACCAGTATATTGATTCAAATTTTCTTTCATTATTCCCAATTAAAGATAAAGATGAATTTTTATCAGTTGAATCAAACATAGTAAATGAAGTGGACTTTGTGTTGAAACTAGTATGTTATCTTTATAAAAAAACTAATTTAAACTTGGAAAATTTGCTTTCAATTTATCCTTATATTATTGTAAATAATTTTAGGAATCATTCATTAAAAGTATTGGTGGATGTGGACTAAAAAATAATATTACAAGGGTGTTACAAAAAATATTTAGCGATGAATTTGCTGTTATCTCTACTTGGACTGGACGTGGTAAACATATATCCATTACAATAGGAAGTTCTGAAGTGATAAAACTAATAAAAAGTTATTTAATTTACTATATTATAAATCAATTACATATAAACATACATTATAATATACAGAAACATTATGATTTTTTTTAGGGTTTATTAAAGCCAATTCCAATGATGTGTTAACGGATTCAGAATTTGAAATCACTGTTGCAAATTGGCTTAGACATGCAAACACTCGTTTGAGTAGAGCAAAATAAGTTTAATTTTCAAAAGTTAGTATTAAGTTATTTTGAATATATTGAATTTTGTATGTAAGAATGCAAATATAGGTATAGGTATTGTAGTTAGAATGTAGATACATTTTAATTAATTTTGTAGTTAAATAAAAAAGTAATTAAATATTTAAAAAAATCTTATTTAAAGTTTAACATAACATTAAAATTAAAATGATTTTTCCACGGAGAAACCAATGTTTATTATCACCTCTAGGTAGAAGACGTGATTTCTTTGACTGCTTATATCTACATAAACTATTGAATAGGACTGTCAATTGTACTCTCTGCCCCCGCAGGCATTACTATAAATAAAATAATAATTCTCGTTTAATATAATATAATATGTAACAAACAAATTAATATAATATTAATACTGGTTTTCAATTCTTATTTTTTTTGTGGTGCATTCAATTTAACTTTTTTAGATTGAATTACTTTTAACCCCTATTTGTGGACTAATTATTTTATTTTTATTTTTTCAGATTAGCAGTTCAAAGAAAAAAGATTTATCCCTCATATCAACAAAATATTTTAGAAGAGTACTAAAAGCTGAACAACAAAAAGTAAATTTGAATGTTACGTCCATAGTAAATAGTAATAGTATAAATTGTGTTAAGACAAACATTACAAACAATGATTTACCACTAAAATTATCAGTATCCGTGAAAGATCCCATGATGCCTGAATGTTTGTTAAATACATTAAATTTTAAAACGGTCCAATCCAATAACTTTAATTTGGGTGTTGATGCTTTTAATGATCCACCTATAACCAATCATGACTCTATGGGCCCTATGTTAGAAGTTGATGTACAGAAAAATGTATGTATAACAGATAAATTGCGTCTATTAATTATTAAACACAAAGTTTCACATAATTTTTGTAACAGCTTGCTTCAGTTATTGAAAAGTGAAGGTTTAGACGTTCCAAAAGATATTAGGACTTTGATGAAAACTCCTAAAGTTCATGATATTGTTGATATTTCTGGTGGTTCCTACATACATTTAGGTCTAAGAAATATGCTACTACCTATTTTAATTAAAAATAATGCTCAAATATATATTAAATCCCATGTATTAGAGATAGGTCTCAATATAGATGGACTTCCTGTATCTAAAAGTTCTAAAAGTCAAATTTGGCCAGCATTAATATCAATTTTAAATTTTAAAGAGCTAAAAGAAAATGTTATACCTATAGGCATTTTAAATGGATTTCAAAAACCCCTTTCTATTGAAGAATTCTTAAATCCATTAATTATAGATTTATTGGAGTTAATAGATAATGGGTTGACTGTAAATGGGTTGTTTTTTACTGTAAATATTTCAAATGTGTCATGTGATAGCCCAGCGAAGGCGTTTTTACTTAATGTTAAGGGTCATAATGCATATTTTGGCTGTACATTATGTATAGAGGAAGGTACATATTTGGAACATCGTATGACTTATCCTGGTTTAGATGCTATGTTAAGAACTGATGAATCTTTCAGAAGTAAAAAAGATGAGGATTACCATAAAGGCAATAGTCCTTTAGTTCGTTTACCAATTAATATAATCAATACACGAAGACTCCCGGGTTTTGACGCCTTGCGGCTACAACCGCGGACCTCACGTTAGCGCTGTGCGCTAGTCGAGAGCCGCGGAGGTTCACGGTGGTACGGTGGCCCAGTCCGCCGACCGCGCGTCGTCTACGGACCACGAGCACCGGAACCGAGGTCCCGTACCAAGAATACTGGCCAAGTGCCGCCTGAATTCGCCTGGTCTGGCTGTGCGCTATCCCCACACCGAGTGTTTCTGGTTACACTCAACCTCCGATGATACTACACCGGTATAGCGGCTAGACGCCCGAGAGGAACCGACCACGAACCGGTGACTCGCGCCCACGGGTCGTGACGGCCATTCATCAGAGGTTTTCGCCTGTCAGCGAGAACTTAGAATAAGCATCTGTTGACTTAACCACAAAGTATTCGTTTAAGAAAACCGCCACCACGATTCCTACCGGCAACGGACGTCCAGGGGCGTGAACCATCACTGGACGCCCGCGGTGAGCGGCGTCGTAGCCGACGGGGCCCCGCTCACTCCCGTGGCACTGAAGCGTGTTCAGTCACACTTGCGCCCCCTCGAAAGCTACCAGTTTTAGTCCGACATGACGGGCATTGGTCTGCCTTAACCGCAGACGAGCGTCCGCGGGGTGCGAATTTAATCTCGGCCACCACCCTTTCGAACCATCATCAGCAAGGACCCGTATCTTTGGGTCAGTCTGGCCGAACGTCCCGACCCGGATGCCTGCCGAGCCGAGGCGCCCAGCCCAAGCTGACGACAGCCCTACCTTTCAGTCAAAGGTGGGACACTTTGCGACGACCACCCTCGCCTACCGAATTAGGGACTCTAAGCAGACGAGCCATCAGCCGCGAGCCCGTAACACTCACCGCAGTGTCCCGGAGACATGCCCAAACCCGGCTTACGCTGAGACGCCCGGCTGCTGGACGGAGCGAACTCCGGCGCCCGTGCCCTCAACTCATATTGAGAGCACCACCGCCTGGGTCGGTTGCCCAGCCGGCGACCGTGAACCGGCCCAGAGGACATACTGTCCGGAACTACGGGTCATTTAATCGAAGCTGTCCGCGGCTGGTTATTAGTTATTCGCCAGCTACCCGACTCGGAAGCTACCGAGGGAACCGGGCTTTCCTCTATCCGCAACCCGAGGACGCGATCTATACCGTGCGTCCACGGTCGCGAAACTCACAGTAGGCGCTGTGGTTTCGCTAGATAATATAATCAATACAGTTGTGTTAGATTACATGCATAATGTATGCCTAGGTGTAGTTAAAAAATTAGTTGAATTTTGGGTGAAAGGTAATAAGCAAGTAAGATTGGAAAAAGATAAAAAAGAAAAAATAAATAATGAGTTAAAAAAATTAAGACCTTATGTACCTTCTGAGATATGTCGCTTACCCAGGGGGCTGGATGAAATTGAACACTATAAAGCCACAGAACTTAGAACTTTTTTATTGTATACCGGTCAAATAGTTCTAAAGGGTAACTTAAAAAAAAAGTTTTACTATCATTTCCTATTGTTGGTTTATGCAATTAGAATTTTAATTTTTTCTGAAACCTATTCTAAGTATAATGAATTGTCAACTCAGTTTCTAAAGAAATTTGTTGATGATTATTCCGCATTATATGGTTCTCATTACATTTCTTATAATGTACATAGTTTAATTCACTTGCCATTTTATGTTCTTATTCATGGTCCATTAGACAATTTTAGTTGTTTTCGTTATGAAAATTATTTACAAGAAATAAAAAAATCTATCAAGTCAATCAAATATCCTCTTCAAGAAATCTTCAATAGAATAGTAGAAAAACAAAAAATGTATGATACACTTCCTGCTCAATTACATAAACAATATCCTGTCTTAAGCAATGAAATAATACACAGTAATCCTTCACCTCTCTTTAATATAAATGATAAACTTTTTGAAAAAATCACTTTAGAACAAACAAATACAATTATCAATGTTCTTAAAGAAAAATATAGATACATAATGCTTACTAATAACACTCTTGTTATGGTTCAGCATATTGTTCAACCGAAAAATAAACCTCCTAATTTAATTGTAAAACAGTTCATCAGCTGTTCTGAATTTACTAATACACCAGAATCTTCATTCAAAATCGGGGTTTACATGGTTGACACTTCTAAAATGTCTGAATTATATTGTATTAATTTAACTGATATAAAATACAAATGTTTTTTTATTAGTCTATCCGACAATTTGGCATTAATCTCAACACTTTGTCATTCAGAGACTTAATAGCTTGTACCTTCAGGCTACAATTACACACTATTAAGTCATTCAAAAAAATTATATTCTTTTGTATGTATTATTTAACATTTATGTTATTTTTTAAATAAATTTTGTAACTGTATAGGTACCTATTATTTTATAATAATTGAATGTACTATACTATATATTATTATATTATGTGTATACAATTTTTTATATAAGAATTGATTGTTTTTTTTTTATTTATATATAATTTTTAATAGGTATTCAATCATTTTATTTCATTTTATATTAATCTAATAATATTATTATAATATATAACTTTGAATGATTTAAATCTGTTAATTTGCAAACAAATTGTAATCTTTAGTTTGTATTGTATCATTATTTATGTTATTTTATAAATACATTTTTCACTTATATACCTATTCAAATAAATAAATTGGAGTTACTAAATTATAATGTTGTTTTTTTTTTTAAATTTTCAATATTTAATTAGGTGGTAAATATTGATTCATAGAAATTTATAATTTATGCATAGGAATACAGGTATTATATTCTAAATAATCCATATGTATAATATTAAAAAAAAATTATCAGCATTGTATATTTTTAAACAACTATACAACAATAGGATCAAACATCGCAGTGATGTTTTTAATAACATCACATTGAGACGTTTCATAGACGTTCTAATTTAATGTGGACGGAATATCGTGTTTGATTGTTGTAGAGATGTTACAAAGAGATGTTCCGTATATGTCTTATTTGTGACATCATTGCGGTACAAATACGGTCCCAGGGATGTTTTAAATACACTTATGGAACGCAATTTGTAATGTTCCATGTTTCATTGCAACAGCCTAGAAACGTTTGTGGTACAAATTATTGCACAGTGGGTATGTATACTAAACATATTATATTTTTTAACAAAACAACAAAAATGGCAATGTACCATATTCAAATGGATTTTAATATTGACATCCCTATGATTAATTTTGTTAATAACATGCACTAAATAGCCTTGATCTGATCATAACAATGATCGTATATTTATTTTCTTGGAATTAATTAGGTACATTAAGACAGTGTAATTTATTATGACACCTAATTGTGTTTATAATATTATGTTTTTATCATTTATCATACAATAAACACACATTTATATAAATATATAGGTACTTTGGGATTTCCTATTTTTTGTAAATTAATGAACTTTATAAATATCGACTTAATAATCGAATTATCGACGCACACTTTTTTACTAACAAAAAGGGCTGGTGCAATATGGATCATAATTACACGTTGAACAAAGTGCGCTGATAGTTTAGACAATCGATTAGGTAAATGGTTTTTTGACTTCAAACTTTTGGACAGACCCAAAAACCACAAAAAAGAAGTGTAAAATATGCGTACTTACACCGTTGATGACTGATAGCTAGACACTCAAACTTTTAAAAATTTACGCCAAAACGCCAAGCTTTATCTCCAATCCATATCACTAATTCTTATCACAAATCCTAAACTTTCATCTTACGATTGTCGCTCCTTTAATAATTGAAACGACTCTTACTCCAAAATCAGTAGGTACCCCCAAATTCAGCGAGTCTCATAGGCCAACTAGAATCTATATTTTTGATTATTCACTTATCTGCGCAACCAACGGGGTCCGCAATCCACCGCAGGTGGAGTGCATACCTGATAATATACTCTTCGCATATTGCTTACCGATGTGATTTTATGACTGATAGCTAGACAATCAAATGCACATATCGACTCTACACTTTTTAACAATTTCAACAACCAAAAGCAGCTGACAAACGCCTTGAGATCCTGGAGATCGGATCCATTTACAATGTTCGTGATGGATTGCTAGACACTCAAACTTTTAAACATTCCCGCCAAAGCGCCAAGCCTTATCTCCAATCCATATCACTACTCCTTATCACAAATCCTAAACTTTCGTCTTACAACCTTTGAGACTTTTATAATACCAACGACGTTGTCTTCAAAATCGGTACCCACTCTCAGCGAGTTCCACGGGCCCCGAGTTTCACTTAGAGCTAGTCTCTATACTATAAAGCAAGAAACCGAGGGCGCCGCCTATGCGTTAAATCCGAACCATCGTAAGAGAGAGCCAATGAGAAAATTCAATTTCCCCCGGAGGGCGGTCTCCCGGCGGCAGCGGAGCCGTCGCTGCGTAATCAGCCTTTCTTATCACTGTTTCGAGATTTTTTCGATTTTTTCGAAATTTTTCGAGTTTTTCGAGTTTTACCCCCTCGGGGGCCCCGGGGTCTCCCCGCTGTGACCTTATTCGCGTTCCCCGCTAGATTTACAGGCCGCGCGCGGCCGTATTTTCTTCCCGGCGGGCCCGCGGCGGCCGATCTCGAGCGCGATACGAGCGCCACCGTCGCGCGCGTTTTTCGCCGTGTTTTTCGAAATATCGAGTTTTACCCCCCTCGGGGGCCCCGGGCGTCCCCGTTAGCGTTATATTCGCGCTCCTCGCTATATTTGTAGCCGGCGCGCTATCCTACTTTTTCAAAAATGAGTCCCCTCATCCGACTAGACGGTCGCCGACGCCGCGGCGTCGTCACGATTTCGACGGTTTTTCCGACTTTTTCCAACAGAGTCGCGTTTCGCTTCGTTTGTAGACTTTTCACCTCCCCGCCGAATAAACAAAATATAACTTAATGTATTTAATTAAATTCTGGCAGGTAAATTGTATAATGATATGACTAAACTATACGATACTGTCTACATAATATGCCCGTTAATATACGCGACATTATGCGAGTGGGGCGCGGAGTGGGATGGAGTGAGTGCGGGGGGGGGGAAACTTTGTCGACGCGAAGCGCGCCCGTTTCGACCTGCCTCTTGTGATCGGCGCTCGTACAACGCACATCGACTCTCACGGAAAAGCCAAATACGTTTCGTGTTATTTAACATTCAGTGTTTTTCTTTGAGTTTTGTTGTCTTTTGGGCGCTTTTCACATACCCGGTGAGTACAACTTCTATAATAATATCTACTACTATATAATATTCAGATAAACTACTGATTCTATATGTTTGCACCAGCTACAGACATCATGGCGCGTTTCGTGTTTTTTTCGTACACCGCAAATGTACTTTGAATACCTATAACTTTTTTATATCCGCATTCGTATTAGTTGTGTATTATCCAGTCGCTGTAGTCGATGTTTAAGTCCGTTGGCTGTTTCTTCGCGTTACCATTGCGGTATCTACGTGTTTTATCGCTTTACATTTTGGGTTAACACTTAACAGTTAATTGTGCAATTACGAGCTGGGTATGTCATTTTTCGTATTTTTCTATTTTTTATGTACATCACGTAAGCCGGTGTGTACCTATTAATTCTAAAAATAACACGCGAGTCTCATACCTCACCGCTGATAACAATAACTGATACCTACAACAGACAACAGTCGTTGTATTCGATTGCAACGTTTTTTTTTTATGACGAGTTTTTCATATTTAGTATTCACTTTTTACTTATTATTACTATAACCTGTTCGTGATGCTTTTAGGCTATTCAAAATGGTCAAACGATGTGTGCTATGCGGAATTGTGGAGAAAACATTATCGATGTTTCCGTACACAAGTAATTCACCCAACACGTACCAATACCTACTTATCAATATATTATAATAAATTATGTGTCGCCTTAGATTTCCAACTGCCGTATACCGTATACAGTTACTGTTGGCGCGACTTTTAACAAACGTTTACATAATACGGGAGACATTGGTTCTAACACCATGTTGGTGCGTGGAAACAAAACCACAACCAGCTGACCGAGTTCCGTTTCCATATCGTTGCGCCTTCGGCAATGCAACGCTGAAATTCTTGATGGAAATACAGTATGCTATTATTTCAGGACACCTTCATTTATTCGTAAGTGATTACGGGCCTTATCAGTGATTTTCGGGCACGGTAAAAATACTATTTTCATTTTCGACCCGGCTTCGGAGTGGTGGATCTTTTATCTGACGTTTAGTCGGATTGCTTACGCATTTAACGATGTTATCATCAATAAAGGTGGTGACTGACTTGCTAGACACTCAACAGATCACGGCGGCACGATTCCCTCGAACCGGCCGTCACACATCGTCAAGTTGTCTACCCGGGTGACTACGACCAACATCAAGTCGATCGACACCGCGGAGAACGCCGCCGTCGTGCGTCGTGTCGCTTTTACTATAACATACAGGCTTCAATACAGCCCCCCTCAAATGATTTTATTTTATTATTTTATTTATTATTATTATTATTTTTTATTTTATTTTATTTTATTATTATATTATTTTATTATTTTATTTTATTTTTTTTCTTCTTTATTTTTGCGTTTTCGGTAACAGTAATGAACGTGCCCCCGCCTTCGCACATTGTCCGCTATCCGACGGGGTCGGATTGACTACCGGATAACATAGATGACTGACCTTCTAGACACCCAAAAAAAGGCGGTGGCTATATGATATGCATGGACGCCCGAAATATTTCTTCTTTATTTTTGCGTTTTCGGTAACAGTAATGAACGTGATGACGTTCATCAGCCGTCGCACATTATCCGCTATCCGACGAAGTCGGATTGCCTACCAGGGTGACTACGACCTACGTAGAGGAAGGTGACTGACCTGCTAGACTCCAAAACATATTTTCACGTAAATTATACACCCAATCCTCGAACCGGCCGTCACACGTCGTCACGTTGTCTACCAGGTGACTACGTCTCACATCGATTCGGATTGCCTACCAGGGTGACTACGACCTACGTAGAGGAAGGTGACTGACCTGCTAGACCCCAAAACATATTTTCACGTGAATTATACACCCAATACAATCGAACCGGCCGTCACACGTCGTCATGTTGTCTACCGTGACTACGTCTCACATCGAGTCGGATTGCCTACCCGGATAACAACTTTTTTTCACGTAATTTATTCTGTAATGGACGCTGTGATACTTGATGACGTTCATCAGCAATCGCATATTTACCAAAGTGACTACGACC